CTGAGGAGAACCTCAGACATCAGAGAAAAATAATTAAATTAACAGGGTTCCTCATGTGCGGGCCCTCTCCCGATCCCACCTGGGTCGCCATGTGCGAGTTCTCTCCCGATCCCATCCTCATCGCCATGTGCGAGCCGGGGGCGAGCTGGGCCCGTCTTTGTGCACGCGGGCTGTGGCCAGCAGCCCGGGCACGTGGGGTCGGAGAGGACCAGTGGCGAGCTAGAATTAGTCACGGACGCGTAATGGTTGATTTAAAGATTGTTTACTTACACCAAAGATGGTCGTGGTGTAGGCTGGACAGTTTCCAAGTTCAGCTCTGCTTAAATCCTCGTTAGAGGACTACGACAATTCGTTCTTTGCCCCGGAGTTATTGAAGCTCCGCGGGTTCGGTAGTTTCTTTGCCCCGGAGTTATTGAAACTCCACGGGTTCGGTAGTTTCTTGTACAGGAAGGGATACGTCTAGGAATTTATCGGCGACGGGGAGAGGCTAGAGGCTGTTCGTTCTTTTCCCCGGAGTTGTTGAAGCTCCGCGGGTTCGGTTATCATGCCTCTAGTGCCTTTTAAGAAAAGCGTTGGGTCCGTAAGGATCCACAGCGCTTAGAGATCTTCACGCTCTCCCTCTCGAACTCCAATTGCTTTCTCTCCAACTTGGGTGGAAACCACCCAAGCTCTTTATACGGCTAGCAAGCCAATCGCTAGCCACCACGTGTGCATGTATTAGAATTGGCTAATAATGTGGCACGAATCTTCATACAAATGGCGGGAACTCCTTTGCACCGTGCATTTCTTGGATGAAAAAGAAATGCACCATGCAAAGAAAGCTACAAATTTGGCGGGAATACTCCGTTGCACCGGGGTTCTTCTCTGCAGCAGAAAACTCCACCGTGCAAAGAAGCTGCAATTTAGCGGGAAAATAATTTAGCAGTGCCGAAGCACACACAAACGAAAAATCACAACTTTGGGTTGTGACACCTCAGATGCCTGCAACAGGGGAAGCTAGAGAGAGAGAGAGAAGTGGATCCCATAGGAGGAGTGAAGGGAGTCCAGGTCTAGTTACCCTTCAGGAAGGGACAGTGGTCACTTTAGAACACATCCTTCTGTCCTGGTTACAGACCAAGATTTTTGCCTTTACAGTCTGAAGCACAGCACAAGCAATCCTAGATAGTGACAACAGATTAGCCACTCGGGGAGACAAAATCAATGTCTAGGTTAGGCTGCTGTACGTCTGAGCATTCCTGGAGCAGATAGAAAGTGCCCCTATGTCTAGAAGGCTTGCCTGGGCAGTGACGGGATGAAAAAAGACCTAGTATGCTAGGCAGCTGCAAGGCCAACGAGCACTGGCTTCAGGCTGTAGAGGGGAGCAGCAGTCAGAACAGCAGGGAAAACAGATTAATGTTCTGGATGCAGCTAGCTGGCATTTAGGTGCCTTTTGGCTCTTCTGGCATGTTGCAATTTGAATTTGGCTAAAATGGAAAGATGTTCACTTACTGGAGATTCTTTTTTGGTTTTCCTGCCTTGTAATTATATTATACAAGAGAAGGAAGTTGGTCTAAAATTAGTATAGTCACACTTCAGACAAGGAGCCAGAGGCTCCTCTGCTGATCATGTCTTTGACTGCCGAACAGTAAAAATATAATCATTTTCTGAAGCTCTTACAAAAGCTAGAAGAATCTTAAGACTTTTACACTTGCCCAGCCACTCCCAAACAAGTCAACACATGTAATCAAAAATCTGTAAATTAGTGAACCCTGGGGATAGGTCTCTCTCAATTGTAACACAGATGCCACATAGGAAAAAAGCCACAATGAAAAGATGATTCCCAATTTCCTGGGCTTCTGTCAGCAAACCAGAAATTCTCAACTCTTCAACTACTATGTGAAATAAGCAAGTATGAAAGATGTAATGAGATTCCAATAAAAGATTCTGATCTTTTGCACTATATTTCTTTAATCTATATTAAAGGCCTGTGTTTTTACAAAGATTCAACATTGTAGCAAGTTAGAAGAAACAGCCTGAATTCTATCTGAAAAGGCACCAAAAATATTTTATGGAATTTGTACAACTTTGAAAAAAATGTCCCTTTGGGGTTAAGTACAAGTATGATAATGTTTCCCCAAAACAGCAATAAAAACACCATGCATTAGATTTTGGAATGAACTGGCAGCCAGTGCTTTAACAACAAGCCTCACTGCAACTTCACTACACTTTATACACGATACTTCACATTTGTATGGCGCTTCCTACTCAAAGCTCTTAAAAGATCTTTACAGATAGTCAAATTAAACCTCAACACTGAAGAACTGTTCTCATATTTTTACAGCTTAACAATGCCTATCACTATTATAGGGATTGGTTTGTTTTTAAATTCATAACTTGAAACATTTTATGTATGTTTTGTTGCAAACTGATAAAGATATTTACAACAGAACTGCTGATACAACTGAGGTGTTTTCTTAACAGAAACAAGTAGGTCACACATTACCTGTGACCTATGCAGCTCATACATCACTACTTTGGTCTTAAGAAAAGAGTTTACAGTTAAATAGATTTTTATGCTAACATCAGAACTAAATTACGGCATTTTTTTATGGATATGGACTAGATGGAGTAATAGACAGTTATATAACAATGTATTTTTTTAAGTACTGCTAGTCAAAACCAAGTTATATGAATTATTTATAATGCTCTATTGTGTCTTCAGGGGAGTTTTTAATGGACAAAAGTTGAATAGGTATTCACTCAAGGTTTCTTTTTTGTTTTATGTCACTAACAGGTTCACTGAACCTGTATGTAGGGAAGAACTTGCAGGATAACTTAATTTTGAAAAGGTGCAAAACAAAATTGTAACTTAAAATTATACAAACAAACCAGAAAATAAAGATGCTTTTTGATAGCTGCAGATTACATCAAGGATTTGAAAGCTAAATTGCCCCCTTATCCTCAGTAATGGCCTCTTTAAGGAAGGTGAAAGCATATTGCAGTGCAAATGCCAAATATCAATTCCAAGATACCCTCTAGTATGTCCAGTCAATCTTTGGGGATGAGTAACTTGTCCCTTTCACCAATTTAAAAGGCTATAACTACTGATAAATAATATTTAACTACAATTACCAGCCAGAATAAACCAGGTTAATGTGTTGTTAAGAGTAATGGAAGCAGTACTTCTGCACTCCAGTTCTGCTAAGATGTGGAACAAACATTGTTTTTGTCAGGATAAATTCAACAAGGTTTTAATTGTGGGCATTGATGTGAGTGCATTTTCCTGGGGAAAGTGGGGGTTTACCAATTCATTTCTGTAGATTTTAATCTTTTCATTAAAAACAAGTCTTGCTCTTCAGAGTGGGTTGTTTACAAGATTATTGTTTCAATCATGATTTAAATGAGAATTCAGGAAAACTTGATTTAAATGAATTTTAAATCAATTTTTGCATTTCTACGTATTTTACAAAAAGGGCCAAATAAACTTCTTTTCAAAGACTGTTTTAATCCACATATATGTTTAGTTTAGTAAATTCTATATAATTCAATTGCTGTATCCAGTTACAAAAAGGGAGGGGAAAAATCTTTAAAATTAATTCAAGTTATATTCAAGTAATAAAATGCCAGGTGATACTTATGGTCCAACACTGTTGCTGCTGCCGCCTCTAAACAGCTAGCAGCAATTCAATTTTAGGAGGGAAAATGCCTGATATTAGAAATTCCCCTAGTTCATTTCTGATACCACCTTGTCTTCCCTATGGTATTGTTTTCAATACATATGTTATAGGCTTCCCAGTTTCTCTTTCTTCACTTTTTTTATGTCCTACCTATCGAACTGCACCTCCTTCACTTAAATATTCTGACTTCCTTCAGTTTTTCCTTCTCAATTTCCCTCTTTAAAAATTATCTCTGTTTCCTGTTCCTCGCCTCTTTATAACTTTCTCCAACATGGAAGTTTCCAAGCAGAAACCTCAATATGCACCTTCCTTTTTTATTGTTTAGTCCTTCCCATAAAGTATGTCTCTTCACCACTGCTATGTTCTCCCCTTCTTTTGTGCTCCTTCCCTTTATACCCTGGACCTGAGCACCAATAGTTTTTTTCAACAGTCAGAATATTTTCCATAAAGGTAGTTTGGTAGAAAGAGCACTTACCTATTAGTAGAGACAAAAGTGATAGTGTTACGTGATACAGGTGATGAAGCATCAAGACAGTACCAGATTGTAGACTACTTTAGGTTCAACAGAATTGCTCTGTCCTTCAGTAATTCCAGGAAACCTGGATCACACCATAACTGACATCCATTTAATCTTTTAGAAAATGGAGCTAAGCAGGGCCTCTAATTTGATTTCTTGTAAATGACAGATTAAAGAAGCACTGAAGCCATAAAGGGTTAGAGTCCTATGCTTCCAGAGTTTGAATTTCTAAATATTATTAAAGGCCAGACTTGTGTTTAAATAATTCAGGTGTATCACTTTGATTTTTGTGTTTTGAGAAAAGATAACATAAAAGTGCCTTCAAACTGTTTCCTCATGCATCAGGTGAATTTATGTTTTTCCCAGGAAGGTAACAGAAAGGGTTTTGTCCAAAGCCACATTCTATGCCCAAACAAGTTGTAAGTACAACTCAAAGTAAAAACAGTTGTGTCTTTAGCTCCATGGTTTATACCCACCATCCATTATGTATGGATCCATTACCTATAAGAACCACCATTTTGGTGATAAAAATGAGCCTAAAACTTCCGTAAATTGAATTTATGCCTATGAAAGGAAGACTTTGCTTCCTTTTGCTTTGTGTTTTTTTTTATTGTCTAGCCAAGGCTACATAAAGCCTTGGTTGGGATGATATAGTTGGGGATGGTCCTGCTTTGAGCAGAGGGCTGGACTAGATGATCTCCTGAGGTCCCTGCCAACCCTAATTTCCTATGATTCTATGATTTCCTTTGCTTCATTGTTTCAATGAAGTTGCTAATGTTACTAGAACCTCAAAAAATTCCCAGCACTGAGAAGTTATATTTACTTACCGTCATCTAGTGTGATGTCCTGCAATCCTATTGTTTGAAAATTTAACTCTCTATCTTCAGGTTCTGGTTTGATGTTAATAGCTGCCGCATCTGATGAAAATGGAGATGAATCGCATACACTGTGATGTACTAATGAAGAAGTTGCATTAAGACCTCCCAATCCTGGACTATGTGCTTGAGGAGAATGTTGTCCAGAGTGACTTACAGCTGTTGGAGGTGGTGATGGTGCAGGTCCTGAGCTAGGAGACTGATAAGGCATAGACTGTAGCTGTGGAGAAGATGGTCCAGACAGTGGTGAATGGACCAAAGGATGGGAAGTTGTTGGGGATGGTGATGAAGCAGACCCTGGGTTTGATGAATGGTATGTGACTTGCTGCAGCTGAGAGGAAGGTTGTCCAAGGCTCCGGTTCATTGTTGAGGAGACAGAAGCTTGTCCAGTGTTTGGACAATGGTATCCCATTGACTGCAGATGAGGGGATGATGGTCCTGAATGAGCTGGGTGTGCCAAAGAATGTCCTGCTGTAGTTGAAGTTGCCACTGACCCTGGATTTGAAGAATGGAACTGCATGGGTGTCAGAGGCTGGCAGCTAAGATTTATCAAATGAGGTATAGCTGCATCTTGTTGAAATGAAATAGCATCAAATCCTTGGCTAGAAGCAGAGTTCATGGGAAGACCAGATTGTCCATTATATATAACATTAGTTTGCATAGGCTGGTAAGAAGGCCTCACTGGAGGTGCTGATGTTACTTGAAAAGACTGAACCACAGCAGGAGGCAAAACATGACACTCTTCACCTGGACTGATGGTTCTACCTTGAATGTGAGACAGATGGGGAACTGCTGAGGTCACCATGGATGTATATGGCTGCTGAACAGGACACACAAGGCTCCTGGGTGACGTAGACAGTAAACTATCATGTGGGTGCCCTGGATCTGATGAAGGCAGCTGAGTTCGGACAGAATGTAGGCCCTGAACGCTACCAGTATGAGGCAGGGTCAAAGATGGAACGGCAGACAAATCCATCTCATCTCTGTGCTCTTGTTTCATTACAACTGGAAGTAGTAAAGAAAGAATTAGAATTCTAAGTTGTTTATACAAGGAAAAATATATCCTATATCACAAGATAAAAACATGTACTCTGTATTTATATTGTATTTAGGCATAACTGCCACAGTTGTCTTCTTTCCACATCCTCTTCCCATTTTCTCTTATTTTCGTTTATTCTTAACTTTGTGGTTCCTATCATACTGGCTCTTATACCTGTAATAATCTTTCTGTTCTCATCTGCCTAATGTTTTCCTTCAACTCTCTTCTCTCCTTCACTCATTTGATTTATTCTCCTATACTTTGTATTGCCTTGAAAAAAAAGTAGCTTGTGGGCTGAATCTAGTAGCAACAGTTTGAAACCTTCAGCTATCTCTGACCATCACTTCTCTGACAGTGCTCTGGCAAAAGTTTGATAACAAGCCCCAGTAGCAAATTTATATTTTTTTAAACTCTGCCAACACAGCTATCTTGTGACAGAAAAAATGGCCTGTACATAAGTTCAGACAGAGAAGCAAAGACCCTGCAATGCAGAGCCCGGGCTGCCAGAGGTCCCTTGAGCATGCGGTGTTTTCCAGGCTTTTTTTCTAAGTGAATGTAGACAGGGATTGTCAGGGCCAGGGAACGTAGGGGTGGGGTCTGCGCCATGCACAGAAGAGTCCTCCAGCCCTTTCTCTCCCCTGTGCTGTGTTGGAGCCTAGCTAAGGCTGGGCAGGGCATATTCTTACATGCTTCCCAGCACCCAAGTGCTGCAGTGAGATTCAGCCAAGGAACAAGCCAGGAGCACTACACCCCCCCTAAGTGCTTCAGTGCTGGGCTTTTCAGCCCAAAGCACTCAGGAGGCATGCTCTGTTCCCTGCTTGACTGAAACTGGCACACACTCTCTCTCCCCGTGAGAGGAGAAGAAAAACAAAGTACACTGGGATTGCAGAGGTCAGCTCGGCATCTGTTGCCGGTACAGAAGTTCTGTCTCCTAAGAGAGATTCTCCGAGAAACCACTTCATTTGGGGTGTTTCCAAGCTATTTTTCTCCCCAAGTGGCTACTTTTACTCTATGAGAAAAATTACAAACTTCTGTACACTCAAGGTTTCTCCAGAGAGAGCAAGAAGTCTCCTTGGAGAAACTGAATGTCTGTCCAAGCCCTAACCTTGAATCTAACCATGTTTTTAGTCTTCATACTTATAGTTCAGAATGATCTTAAAAAGCTGTAAAGTTATACTTTTGACAGTTTAACAAAGTTAGAAGTAAGGTTGTCTCATCTTGAACACATCTATTTATAGCTCAGGCCTAAGAAAGTATTACTTTGATTTGGTCTTGCAATGGTATGGTGTTCCAAGTTGTTTTGTACTGTTCCTAACTCAGATATTACCAGAACCTAGCAGCATCGTCTTGTGTAATTAAAACTGGTGATTGTGTGCTGTACAGTGCTATGCAATTGCCTAATTTAACTAGCCTTTAGCTAACTCCATGAAAATGTCATATTTTTATTAACAATTCCTAATGTTTCTAAATCTTATATAATAAAAGTCTTAGTCTGTGTGTCTGTCTGTCCATAACACTTTTGCCTAACTGCGCATGTGCTGATTGGCTGCGTGGGGTGGGAGGCCGGGGCCGGGGACAGCTGAGGTAAAACAGGAGTCCCTCTGCTGCCTTCTCCTGCAGGTGCCTCTCTGCCAGCGCCATCTCCTTGTGCAACCTCCAGTGTGGCGACTCCTTCTGCCCCACCTCCACAGAGGCAAAAAAAAAAATGGCACGAGCACTTTACAAGCTGAGGGGCCAGCTGGGGAAAGGTGGGTGGGAGACCCTCTGTTGGCTCCATCTCCTCCTCCAGACCCCGATGTAGTGGCTCCCTTTGCCCCACCTCCGGAGGCAAAAAAAAAAAAAAAAATCGCATAAGCACTTTATAAGAGCCAGGGCCAGCTGAGGAAAGGCCTCTGTCAGGCCTGCCTCCTCCTCCAGCCCCTGGTGCGGTGGCTCCCTCTGTCCCATTTCCACAGAGGGAAAAAAAAGAATTTTTTCAAGCTCTTTACAAGTGGCAGGGCTAGCTGAGGAAAAGTGGGAGCCCCTCTGTCGTACAAGGGTCGGACCCGAAGGGGTGGGGGGCAGGGTCAGACCTGAGCTGGTGGGGGGCGAGGTCAGACCCGAATGGGGGGGCAAGAGGGGTGGGGTCAAACCCG